AAAAAAGAGCAATCCGCTATGTATTTGGTTTAAGTAGTAGGACACATTGCGAAAATTACTTCAAAAATTTCAAAATTCTAACCCTTCCTGCTCTATTTATTTTCGAATCCGTCTGCTTAGTTCGCAAGCACATTCAAAATTTATCCGAAAGACCGACTCGTAGATATCCTACAAGAAATTTAGAGACTGATGTTTATTTAACAATGCCCACTTCTGACCTATTAAAACATTCCATTACCTACAATGCCAAAAAATTGTATAATAACCTTCCGATGCAATTAAAATCTATAAATACATACGTTAAGTTCCGAAGACTGGCTAAAGCTTTTCTTCTAGAAAGACCATATTACACAGTAGCAGAATTTTATAACGTACCTTAGACATTTGAGTTCCACATACAATGGCATTAATTAAATAATTAAATATTAAAGTTTAAATTTAAATTTAAAAATTAAATTAGAATAATTATAATGACGGATATTGCATATCCATTGCAATTGTTATTCCTATTTTGTCTGTTTGTTTCTGTTTGTTTTTTCTGCTGTTTAGTTATTTTTATATGTTTAGTATTTAAGTTACACGCTTTGTCTATAAAATTTTTGTAAATTTTTTTACGACAATAAAGCATATCTCTCTCTCTCTCTCTCTCTCTACTTCTACACGTCTCATTACTGTATTAGCAGAAAGTTGCATAGATTTTATAGCTGAAACTATCTCGTCTTTATTTCTAAAGTTGGCAAATAACGAATCAGCAGCTTCTAAAAACGCCTGTTTTATCATTTCCCCGTCTTCATAAGGTTTCTTTTTTTGTGCAATTATCTGGGACACATGGTACGATGCTTCAGTTACAGCCTTATTTTTGTCGACTGTTCTTAAAAATATTGATTGTTGTCCAATTAACTGCTTTTTTAACTGTTTCACTTTCTCCTTTCTGGGCCTCAATTCTCGACTTTTTTTCCCATGGGGAAAAGATAATTTTCCTATGGGAATTTATATTTTGTATTCTCGACACATCCACTAGGAATATTTTCTCACGAAAAGTATGGGAGCAAATACACCTGGTAGTTGGCATGGGAAATCAAATTTCCAATGGGAATCTGTCACCGGTGACATTTGCTAGTTACTTCAAATAATAATATTTATATATTATTATTACTAATATAACTTTCCTAAAATGGATGAAGCTATTTTACTTTCTCAATTTAACAATATAGAAGAGGCAGAAGAAGAGCAATTAATGTCCCAAGAGATTTTTGGTCTAAGTGGAAAAATGAAGCAGGGGATCCCTTTGAATCCTTAAATGACAATTTAATTTAATTTCTCAAATATGATCAACGCAAGTTTTCTAGAATAAGCAATCCCAGAATAAATTTTGTTTCATTATTAGGAATAGGCTATTTCAGAATAAATTTTGTTTTATTACTCAAAATAAATAGCAACTGTTAATAACATAATGAGATGGTAAAAAACTTGAAGCTAAAATATTGAACACTCTTAAATATCCTTAAAATTTCTCTGTTTCTGCTATTTTTTCCAAGGCACAAGTTATTTGTTCTTTTGCCAAAACATTTCTCTCTAATAACTTGAATTTTTTGTCATAATAATTTTCTTTATTAAAGTTTTTATTTTGTAACATGCGTTCAATATTTCGGCTAGTATTCAAGGTTTTAGTTAACCTTGTAGCAGCTACTCTTCGTTTGGGCTTTATTGTGCCCCTTGTACTAGGTTTAGCACATTATATATTTTCACATTATTTTCTAAATAAGAAGGGTTGATTGTTTTCTCTGACAAGATGGCAAGTGGCAAAACAAGAGTCAAAAGTTGACGATATAATCAATGATCCCAACATTACTACTTGAAAGTATTGAAATATAATATTGATTATGATTGGTCAGTTTCCAATATTTACATACTTAATACCCGACATACGTTAGACATACGAATAATCGAAATTCCCATAGGAAAAAGGTTCCTAACCTAGTCGAGAATACCATTTTATAATACCACTGGAATATAAGCATGGGAATATTTATCCATGGGAAAATTTTCCGGTGAAGTCGAGAATTGAGGCCCTGGGGGTAGATTCTCGACTTTTATTCCCATGGGAAAATAAAATTTTCCCATGGGAATTCAGTTTTAGTATTCTCGGCATAAGCGGTGGAATATTTTCCAATGAGAAGTATGGGAAAATATTCCCCTGCTTACGAGCATTGGAAATTGTGTTTTCCAATGGGAATTGTACTAGAGTTTGCGCATCTAACAATCTAACCTGTCTGGTGCGACTCGACTTGCGGCACAGCTAAGCGATCCGAGATGGCGGCTATCGTATTCCAAATAAGGACAGCAGCGTGCATCTCAGCTGCTATTGGCCTGATTCAAACGGGAAAATGTCGTTGTGAAGAAAACGGGAACGTTGAAGAGAATGCAGCAGTAAAGCCAAAAAGGCAACATAGGTGTTAACAGGCATAAACACCTAACATTACGTTCAACAGTAACATTATGTAGGATAATGAGGAGATAGAGAAGGGAGAGGTGTGGAGAAGGGAGGCGTTGTCGGGAAAAAATAGTGTAAGAGGTAATGGAAGAGATGTGTTGGAGGAGGATGAGGGGTGGTGAAGACCCAGTCGTCATCGACTCTAAAGGAGTATTAAAACTACTGGAGAAGCTGAAGAACAAGGGTGATATTCATAGCGATTCATAGAAAATCACAAAAAGAATGAAAAAACATAGAAAATCGTAGAAATCTTTAAAGAGTCATAGAATACACGCTGCTGCGTTGTCAAAGGGGCCTTAGTTGGTTAGTACAAAAATTGTAATAACCAAGGAGTCGAAGGGGTAGAGGAGACATTCTTCTCTGGATGAAGAAATGTCAATGAATACGGGAAAATAGCAGTCAAAAAATTAGTATTGAGAATAAGTTTAAGAAGAACGCGTAGATATCGTTCGGAATCAGTTTTTACTTTCCTATCTGTATACAGATATAAGGAAAGTATAGGAATCATGATTTTTTTCGACCTCGAGTTTTCGACGGATTTTTACGTTTTGAGGTCCCCTGAATCCGTTTTGACTATTTTCGCGATGATGTCTGTGTGTGTGTGTGTGTGTGTGTGTGTGTGTGTCTGTATAACGCATAACTCATGAACCGATACACAGAAAAACACCAAATTTTAAACTTAAGCTTTGTTTCAGCGTCCAATGAGCTGATTAGATTTTGGGTAGAGTCGGAACATCTGGGGGGGTACTTTATAGGTGGTCATTTTTATATTTTATGGAATATATCTGTTATTTACGTTTGGAGAAGAAAATTCTTCAAATAAAAGTTACTTCTAATATAATTTTCTATAATTTTTGTCTTATGCAAAATTTTCCTAAAATGGTCCGTATTCGAGAAATTTGACAAAATGTAAAAAAAATAATTTTTTATAAAAATTGTTCAAATAAAAGTTGTTTGTAATATAATTCTCTATAATTTTTATTCTATACATAATTTCTCTAAAATGGACCGTATTCGAGATATTTGAGAAAATGTGTAAATTTCGAATTTTGAAGAAAACTCAAAAACGGATAAAGAAAAAAACATTAAATATTAAACTTAAGGTTTATTTCGTCCTGACGTGCAATGATTAGATTTTGGACAAAGTCGGAACATCTGGGGGGGTACTTTATGGGAGGCCGTTTTTATATTTTATGGAATATATCTGTTATTTATGTTTGGAGAAGAAAATTGTTCAATTAACAGTTACTTCTAATATTATTTTCTATAATTTTTGTTTTATGTCAAAATTTCCTGAAATGGTCCGTCTTCGAGAAATTTGACAAAATGTGCAAAATTCTGATTTTTTTTTTGTTTTTACGTAATAACTAGATAGGAAAGTCATGTGTTGGACACATCAGATTTTTGTTATTGTAATCATATATCGGTATATATTTTGATGATGTATGTTAATGTATGTAAAATGTGGTGTATTTTACTGACGACTATGTAAACATGTTTATATAATGTATTACTGACAATAACATATTTATATTTCAATTTAACAATATAAATAGTGTCACAATAAAGTTTACGTCCGCTAGATATCTCTACAAAAAAAAATGAATAACAAACAAACACAAAAACCGTCAATATGGATGTATGGTAACTACAAATAGGTATGGAATAGTTTTTAACTATATCCAGAGCCGCTAAGTAATTTTACATTCATCAAGAGGTAAGATAAAGCATAAAGAAATGTGTATTCGGGAAAACAAAACTAATCCCAATCTTTTTTATTGTTAGCAAAGCTTCAGACAAGACGCTAAAAAATAATTCCGATTATTTTACATCTTATATGTGTATGTAACTAATTAATAATCCATAATAAGCTAGGAATGTAAAAACTTGTGTTCTACACACTATTCCGTGCATTCACTTCATTTGTATCTTCTTGTTAAATTGGAATTACGCAAACCGTGTAGGTTTCCGTTCGACTTGAAAGTCGTTTGTAAGATATACATCGTTCAGTCCCCCGTCCGACTAAGAAACGTTTGTTAGATATTCATCGTTCAGTCTCCCGTCCGACTAATTTGTGACGTCTCTCATTAAAAAAACATCCAATTCGTTGAGAAAGTATAATATAGAAAATGCTCATTATCGGGACTAAAAGCGACATCTATAATACTCCATATAACGTGTCTAGCAAAGATTGATTAAAGAAATTTGTAAGGCTAAACGCCAGAATTTTATATCCGAATACTTATATCTAAAATTTGATAAATACAAATGGGAATAAAAGAAATAATGGTTTCAGAATAAAAAAATTCTTCTGCACTGGAAAGTAAAAGTAGTGAAATAATAAAAACTTTGAAGGTATAGTATTGATACCTGTTGCTAAATTTTTTTTTTTTAATTTTGTATTTTGTAGAAATAATAGAATACAAGTTTACCGAACTATAGATTGATCTCATCGCCATCCAATGCGGTTCAGATGAAAAATATGTATAATATAAATAAATAATAATTGGTGTTAATAGATTTATTTACACTTTATAAAAATATGAATAAAATATTTAGCATAAATAAAATATCACTTCGCTCTAGACGATCTTGTTTCCATACGCCTTTTCGTAATAGATCTACGCCTATCTCTCGTCTCAGAATCGCTGCATTTATCTTCCATCTCTTTCTCTGGTTTTTCTTTTTCTTTCGAAAAATCCATATTGGAATATACCCATTTTCCGACAGTCCCATCCCACTAAAAGAAATGTCATTTAAACCTGGCTATTACTAACTGTAATGGTGGATTTGTGTTAAACGTAAGAGAAAACATTATAAGTGAATTTCAACCCCTGAAGACTTATGTAGGGGAAAACCCGGAAAACCTCACCCATTATCAAACAACGGGGTTTAAATTTGTCTTACTAGCTGGTCCAAGAGGTGACTTAAAATATTGAAGACCCGTAACCATGTGAATTAAATTCATTATTACTTACAGAAGAACTTAGTATTTCGTTTCGAGTAGGATGCCAATCGACGTCCCTGACGCACGCCACGTGACCTCTCAATGCTTCTACTATTTCACCGGTTAAAGCATCGTATACTAGAAAAAATATATTTTAGAGTTTGCACTAATTTTACCGGTTAAAACCTTACCGACCACTCTACCTCTACCGCACCCCGTATAAATATATCTTTGACCGGTAGTTTCTAAAGGAGAAAATCTACATCTTACTAAAGTTTTTATCACAACATGCCCTTTGTAAGTCATCACGGACGTATCGCCATCTAATTTGCTTCTGGAATATACTGTAAAAAGATTGAAAATTTTATACAACCGGTAAATTTTGGAATAAATAAGAAATCCATCACCACTAACCCATAAATACACCAAGAGGCATTTACTCACACTTTTTTGGTACTTCTTGCCACCTATAATCCCACGTTTGCTCCGTAACCGCTTTTAGGGTATTTTCAGCCGCCTGACTTCCAGAAAAAACTCTTACGTCCCACAACTTTATGCTTTGATCTTTACTATTCGATATTAAGTACCTGCCATCACCTTTAGAATCTAAAATTATCAATTTTAAATATATACAAAACCGATTTAATTAAAACGAAAATACCTATAAATGTAATACCGTCCATATGTCCGGCAAGTACGCCTACCGGTTTTGGAGACGTTTCAATTAAAGTTCGTCTGTCCCATACTTTAACGTGACCATCGTCTCCACCGCTGTAGATGATTTGAGAGGAATTATCAGCGAATACGACGCTATTTACGTCATATTCGTGAGCTGGTATCTACAAAATACATATACGAACGTAGGATTCAAATTTTTACGGCATACGGTTGAACTATATATAAGCTATTACAAGTTATACAATTTTAATGTCCGGAAGCCAAGCTGTATAAAGTAGACTTTGCCACCTCAAAAATAGATACATAACTAGCGGTCACACCTCATATATCACGTTGGCACCTCAAACCAGCGAGGTGAGTGACAACGTTTAACCCTTTTGCCTTCGCTGGCGGTTACCAGGCTACCTCTACAGTCGGTTCGCGAAAATTCGTCTGGAGGTGACACTGGATTCCATATAACTGTATGTAACCGTTGCTAGTTCGAGCATCTATCACTGGCGTTAGTGTCGCTTTTTGTTGTTTTGTACGGACCACGCCGTTTTACAATTACTTCCCCTTTAGCTGAAGGTTCATAGTCAGAAACATAATGAGAGTCTACAAGAATTCGAGGTCGATATAAAAAGAATGCTGTATCTGGCCTATCCATAGGATTTACTAAAACAAATCGGCATACAAGCATTCATTGATGGATTGTAGGATGTGGAAATGCAGTAAGCTCTTTTGGCAACAACACCACAACAAGACGATGAGTGAGACATTGATTGCTTCCCAGAAATAAAAAGCAGCTAAAATTATATCTAAACCTTCTAGGGCAAAATTATAGGCATTTGATTCCAGGAAAGTGAAGAGGCCACTACTAATACCTAAACAAAACTCCAATTTGATGCTGCAAGAGTTAATGGCTAGAGACCTGAAGAGCGGATACTGGTAAGTACACGACTTATGGAAGGGGTTTTGAAAGAATTAACCTGAAAAACTTGTCTAGTATACCTCGATGACATAATGATCATGTCAAAAACTTTTGATGAACATCTACTAAATTTGAGTGAAGTATTTGACAGATTAAGAAATGCCAATCACAATAAATGTTTACTGTTCCAGTCGGAAGTTTATTATTTGGGACACATCGTTTTTGCAGAAGGAATCAAAACTGACCCGGAGAAAATTACACCTCTAAATTATATTTGTAGTAATTTTCAAGACCGCTAGTAGATATTTTTAATCTGGTTTACCTGGCAACACTGCATTCATGACTTTCATAATAAATAACTGCTTATTATATATAGATTCAACTATTATTAATGAAATAAAATTAATGTATATGTATATATTACTTTTAAGCTTCTTTTGTGACGTTCTAAATCATAAATGTACAGACAACCATCGTTAGCTCCACCTAATAGTTCTTTGCCGTCTGAAGAAAACACAACCGAAAATACGCAAAATCGTCTGCTGCTTCTAAGCAAGCCCAGCGGTTCCTGATGATCATTATCTTCATTGACTGAACATAAGTGGACTAAAAATAAAAACCGACATTGAAAAAGATCATAATATGTAATTACTTTGGGGTGTATATATCTGGGAAATAACGACATAAATGTGTAAAATGTATTTAATTTTTTTAGATCACAAGTCACTACAGCATTTGTTGTGGTTGGTAGACTTATTTGAGTTTTCCTTTTCATCTAGATTAGAATATAGAATAAAAAAATCGATATTTGCAGTTTATGAAAAATAATTCCGATTATTTTATAGCCACATCTCGTATATATGTATGTAAATAATCAATAATCCACAATAAGCTTGATCTTGAATGTAATATTAAGTCAAACTTCCCTTCATTTGTATCTTCTTGTTAAATTGGAATTACGCAAACCGTGCAGGTTTCCGTCCGACTAAAATACCTTTGTAAGATATTCATCGTTCAGTCTCCCGTCCGACTGGGAGACGTTTTTTAAGATATTAATCGTTTAGTCTTCCGTCCGACTAAGATACGTTTGTAAGGACACCGCCGCTAAATAGCTGAGTGACATGGCGTATGACCAGATAAGTAGATGGTACAACAAATACATTAATTATTAATTGAATATTTGGTATTTCGGGCTAGTGCGTCTCGCGAAGATGCTTCTACTCGTAATTTCGCGAGTGATAATTTTTTTATCTCCAAATTTTCATTTAACTGAAAAACACAATGTTAGGCATCATATTGTAACTGAAGGAAATGTATCTTTTTGTAAACTTAGACGTTTGGATCCTAAAAATATAAAATTGCTAAACAGGAATTTGACCTAATGAACGAATTAGGCATTTGTCGCCCATCGTCATCTTATGTCACTACCCACAAAAGATTCGAATGATTGAAGACCTTGCGGAGATTATAGATTTTTTAATAAAGATGCAAAATCTTCAGAGCATGTATTGCCTGGAGATATATCCCAGCAATATGGCAAAAGGCGAAAGTAGTCTACCTTGCCAAAGTAGGTAGGGTCACAGACCAAACGCCAAAGTCATATCGCCCCATAAGCCTATCCTCCTTCCTACTTAAAACACTAGAAAGATTAATAGATAGGTATATCAGGGACGATATACTAAAAATAAATCCGCTCCATCCCAACCAATATGCATACCAGCCAGGAAAGTCAACTGACCTAGCGCTGGACGATCTAAACAGGCTGCTTTCAAAGTCAATAGATGACAAAGAAATCGCAATAGCCACTTTCTTAGATATTGAAGGAGCTTTCAACAATGCCTCAACCAGGTCAATAACCAAGGCTCTAGAAGGGAGAAACGTCCCAGTAACAATATGCCAATGGATCACTGCCTGTCTAGAGAACAGGATTATTTTATCCACTCTAGGAAAGGCAACCATACAGGCAAAAGTTACACGGGGCTGCCCACAAGGAGGAATACTATCTCCAATGCTGTGGTCAGTTCTCGTGGACGACTTACTCAAAATATTATCCAAAGAAGGCTACCAGTGCCTAGGATACGCAGACGACCTAGCAATCATCGTCAGGGGGCGATTTGCAGGTACAGTTTCGGAGCGATCTCAAACAGCTCTAAACATAGTGAACAACTGGTGCAAAAAGGAACAATTGTCCATCAACGCACAAAAAACAACAGTTGTACCATTCACAAAAAAACGGGTACTCACAGGTCTAAGACCACTAGTACTAAACAGCACAGTTATCCCATTCGTCACAGAAGCCAAATACCTCGGAGTCATATTTGACCAAAGGCTGACATGGAATCAACATCTCAAAAAACTCACACATAAAGCTACAATAGCTCTCGTAAGCTGTAGAAGAATATGTGGGAAAAACTGGGGTCTAAACCCCAAAATGACCATATGGCTATACACAAGGGTAATAAGACCCATGATAACCTATGGCGCAGTGGCGTGGGTAACCAAAACTGCGCAGGCAAGTGCAATAGGCCAACTCACTAGTATTCAGCGGCTTGCCTGTCTAAGTGCTACTGAGGCCATGCGCACTACGCCGACCGCAGCAATGGAGGTATTACTAAATCTCACGCCATTGCACATCTTCATACAAGGAGAAACCAGGTCAGCTATTCACAGGCTAATGCAGGGACAAAACCCAATAAGCCAACTACATAGCGCCGACCACACAAGGCTATATCAGCAAGTACAAAGGGATAATATTCTAGCTATGCCTACTGATATAGCCATAACCACATACAAATTTGAAAGAAATTTTCAAATTCAAATACCAGCCCGAGAATCCTGGAAACAGGGACCTCCCGTACAGGCTGAACTCGTCTGGTACACAGACGGTTCAAAAACCAAGGAAGGAGCCGGTGCTGGAATCTATGGACCTAAGTCGAAATCGACGATTTCACTAAGCTTAGGAAAATATGCAACACTGTTCCAGGCTGAGCTAATAGCCATACAACACTGTGCAAGAGAAATATTAAATCAGCAAGTATCAGGCAAAACTATTGCCATATACTCTGATAGCCAAGCAGCTCTAAAGGCAATTCTCTCACCAGAAATCAAATCACGACTGGTGAAAGACTGTCTAGAAGACCTGACAGAGCTAAGTAGTCAAAATAAGGTGACCTTAGCCTGGGTTCCAGGCCATGAGGGATATCAGGGCAACGAAAAGGCCGACGAATTAGCCCGAGAAGGCTCAGATAAGGCCATGACAGGCCCTGAACCCTTTTGTGGAGTCGCTAAGGCATTGTGCAAGGCATCCATTAAACAATGGATGCAAAAAGAGTCTCAGGAATCGTGGAACAACTATCCAAGACTGAGACAGGCCAAACAGTTCATCAAGGAACCATCGGCCAAGTTTACGAAAGACTTACTGGATCAAAAACGTCAAATCTTTAGGATAACAGTAGGCCTTCTTACTGGACACTGTCGCCTCAAAAGGCACATGAGTGTCATAAATCCAGCAGAAGAAGCAACTTTGTGCAGGTTCTGTGAAGAAGAGGAGGAAACATCATTCCACGTCCTGTGCCAATGTGAAGGCTTGGCTGGAATGAGGTTTCTAACATTGGGCGAAGAAAAGCCAATTGCATGCAACTACATGCGGGAGCCACTGTCAAAGCTACTAAGTCTAATAAAAAAGACCAGGCTAGACGACATACTCTAAAACAAACGGAGTCCCACAATAGATCTGAAAAGGTCGCGGTGGACAAGGACAAATAACGTCCAACTCCTAATCTAATCTAATAAAGTGACAGTTCCTGACAAATTTCCTTTAAGCTTAATTTCTGACGTCAATTTAACCAAAAGTTTTGTGCAAACCCACTAATTTTTACAGTGATATTTTGACCCTGCGCTTTTTTAAACTCTCCTTATTTCATCATAACTCTATTACGTCCTGACGCCATTTTCCCCGACACTATTCTATATTATCGCTTTTTGTGAGTGCGCTATTTATTCTTACGCTATTTCTTTTGCGCTAATTGGTCCCACGCTGTATTATCTTGCGCTATTTCCTGGCGGTGTCGTTTTTAAGATATCCACCGTTCAGTCTTCCGTCCGACTGAAATATATTTGTAAGATATCAATCGTTTAGTCTTCCGTCCGACTAAAATTTATTTGAAAGATATCAATCGTTTAGTCTTCCGTCCGACTGAAATATATTTGTAAGATATCAATCGTTCAGTCTTCCGTCGGACTAATTTGTGACATCTTTGAACTTTCTCATTAAAAAAACATCAAATCCGTTGGGAAAGACGGTATTGTATTCAAAAATTTATATTTTATCTACCTATTAATTAAAATTTGTCTTTTTATGTACTTACGCGCTGACGACCAAGTGGAATAAACAAAATGCTCATTATCAGGACTGAAAGCGACATCTATAATGCTCCATCCAACGTCTCTGGCAGAGATTGAATGAAGAAACTTATAAGGCCCACCGGCAGAATCATATATCCGAATACTTCTATCTAAAATTCGATAAATACGAATTGGAATAAAAGAAATAATGATTTGTTTACCTTGCGATGCTGTAATGAACCTATTACCGCTTTTGGAAAATACTCCGCAAAATACTTTTCCGGGTGAAGTGTCTAGTAATGACATTTTGTTAGGTAAAAACATGTTTGCTATTTGACATTTCATTCTTTGCGAAAAACCAACCCCGTTAGATCCCTCCTGAAAGGTAATAAAAGTATGTGGAATTCTGACATTTAGGATAAAACGACAATATATTTAAATAGAAACAGTTTCTTGTTACTAGAAGTAGAATAAGAAATTTATTGTTAAGTCCAGAAGGACAAGAATAAATATGCGTACATCTATGTGAAACGTGAAACAGTTTTTGTAGAATTATATGAAGCAAAAGAAATCCTAAATTTACTTAAATTTATATACCAACTGTATTATAAATTATAATACAATCTTTTAAAATGTTAATACCTCTCTACCAATCATCATCCTGGCGACATTGTTTTCTTTTAATTTCTTGTGTTTTGGTTCTCCTATTCCTGATGATTGTTTTGTTAAAGTGGAAAATGCACTTTTCTGTAATGAATTATTATATTAATTAAAAAATATTTACCCAAAACATTTTTTGATTAAACTAAAAATTATTTACTTTATTTTTGTCTATTTTGGTTGATTTCATATGACAATATTTTTAATTAATATTATGGTGTAATTTATTTGTAACTTACATCCAAAATTTTAGTGTTAGGTTTGGCTTTAATTTTTGGCATCCGTGGTCCAATATAATTCTCATATACAGGGGAAACTAAGTGCAGTTGACCACTAAAAAAATATATCATAATAATACAACTATTTCTTTCAATTCAAATTTTTATTAATACAAAATAATAAAAAATAACATAAACATAGAAAGTATAAATGTAAAAAAATGGAAGACAAAAAATAGACATTTGTATAAATTGATTATCCAGAACAGTTTGAAGGTGAAGCCAGTGGCGCAGCGAGGGGGAGGTTTTAGAGTTTGAAACCCCCTTCAGACCCTGATGCAAACCCAGGCGATTTTGAAATAAAAAAAATTAATCTAGATAGAAAATATATACTTTAAATACTCCCAAATTTTTTTCAAAACCCCCTCTAATACAAAATTCCGGCTGCGCCACTGGGTAAAGCATGTGATACAAATTTATATCGAACTAGCTATTGCCCGCGGCCTTGCTCACGACTTTGCTCGCGACTTTGCTCGCATAAAGTCGTGTTATTAATATAAAAAAATACATGACTTTCTTTTTTATTAATTTTTATTAATTTTTATTAATTTTTATTAATTTTTAATAATTTTTTTTAATTTTTATTAATTTTTATTAATTTTTATTAATTTTTATTAATTTTTATTAATTTTTATTATTTTTATTAATTTTTATTAATTTAATTTTTATTAATTTTTAATAATTTTTATTAATTTTTATTAATTTTTATTAACTATTATTAATTTTTATTAAATTTTATTTTTAATATTTTTTATTAATTTTTATATTTTTTTTTTTTATTTTTATTAATTTTTATTAATTTTTATTAATTTTTATTAATTTTATATTTTTTTTTTATTAATTTTTATTCATTTTTATTCATTTTTATTAATTTTTATTAATTTTTATTACTTTTTATTAATTTTTGTTAATTTTTATTAATTTTTATTAATTTTTATTAATTTTTATTAATTTTTTATTAATTCTTATTAATTTTTATTAATTTTTATTAATTCTTATTAATTTTTATTAATTTTTATTAATTATTATTAATTATTATTAATTTTTATTAATTTTTAATATTTTTTATTAATTTTTATTATTTTTTATAATTTTTTATTAATTCGTATTAATTTTTATTAATTATTATTAATTTTTATTAAATTTTATTTTTAATATTTTTTATTAATTTTTATTAAATTTTATTTTTAATATTTTTTATTAATTTTTATTAAATTTTATTTTTAATATTTTTTATTAATTTTTATTAATTTTTATTACTTTTTATTAATTTTTGTTAATTTTTATTAATTTTTATTAATTCTTATTAATTTTTATTAATTTTTATTAATTTTTATTAATTTTTATTAATTTTTATTAATTTTTATTAATTTTTATTAATTTTTATTAATTTTTATTAATTTTTATTAATTTTTATTAATTTTTATTAATTTTTATTAATTTTTATTAATTTTTATTAATTTTTATTAATTTTTATTAATTTTTATTAATTTTTATTAATTTTTAATATTTTTTATTAATTTTTATTAATTTTTATTACTTTTTATTAATTTTTGTTAATTTTTATTAATTTTTATTAATTTTTATTAATTTTTATTAATTTTTATTAATTTTTATTAATTTTTATTAATTTTTATTAATTTTTATTAATTTTTATTAATTTTTAATATTTTTTATTAATTTTTATTAATTTTTATTACTTTTTATTAATTTTTATTAATTTTTATTAATTTTTATTAATTTTTTATTAATTCTTATTAATTTTTATTAATTTTTATTAATTATTATTAATTTTTATTAATTTTTAATATTTTTTATTAATTTTTATTATTTTTTATAATTTTTTATTAATTCGTATTAATTTTTATTAATTATTATTAATTTTTATTAAATTTTATTTTTAATATTTTTTATTAATTTTTATTAATTTTTATTAATTTTTATTACTTTTTATTAATTTTTGTTAATTTTTATTAATTTTTATTAATTCTTATTAATTTTTATTAATTTTTATTAATTTTTATTAATTTTTATTAATTTTTATTAATTTTTATTAATTTTTATTAATTTTTATTAATTTTTATTAATTTTTATTAATTTTTATTAATTTTTATTAATTTTTATTAATTTTTATTAATTTTTATTAATTTTTATTAATTTTTATTAATTTTTATTAATTTTTAATATTTTTTATTAATTTTTATTAATTTTTATTACTTTTTATTAATTTTTGTTAATTTTTATTAATTTTTATTAATTTTTATTAATTTTTATTAATTTTTATTAATTTTTATTAATTCTTATTAATTTTTATTAATTATTATTAATTTTTATTAAATTTTATTAATTTTTAATATTTTTTATTAATTTTTATTATTTTTTATAATTTTTTATTAATTCGTATTAATTTTTATTAAATTTTATTTTTAATAATTTTTTTTAATTTTTGTTAATTTTTATTAAATTTTATTAATTTTTAATATTTTTTATTAATTTTTATTAATTTTTATTAATTTTTATTAATTTCAGTCAGTCAGTCAGTCAGTCAGTCAGTCAGTCAGTCAGTCAGTCAGTCAGTCAGTCAGTCAGTCAGTCAGTCAGTCAGTCAGTCAGTCAGTCAGTCAGTCAGTCAGTCAGTCAGTCAGTCAGTCAGTCAGTCAGTCAGTCAGTCAGTCAGTCAGTCAGTCAGTCAGTCAGTCAGTCAGTCAGTCAGTCAGTCAGTCAGTCAGTCAGTCAGTCAGTCAGTCAGTCAGTCAGTCAGTCAGTCAGTCAGTCAGTCAGTCAGTCAGTCAGTCAGGACAAACAATTTTATATATATAGATAAGGACATAATTCTAAAAGCTGTTGTTTTATTAGATAAATGTTTTTAATGTATGTGGATTTTTTACACTTTGGCAGTATATTGAATAATTTTATTCCAGGTATTCTTGGTGATTCAGCACAAATATTTATATGTGCAAACTAGGGAACAAGTTCATATCTGTCCCTGGTACTATATGAATGAAAATCGCTGTCAAAATAGACCAATTGTGTAGTCAAAGAAGTCTACAGACCTAAATCCTTGTGAATAGATTTAAAAAAAAAAGGAATAATTCATTGTTTTTGAAATGAAACAAATATCATAAACACCACGCAATGCTTTCAAAAGTTCCTATCTAAAATGTTAATACCTTTATCTATAAACAATATTTACAAAACAATAATAGGTTGCAAAATTATTGTAATTGGACCAAAATTTATAAAACCAGATATAAAACAGTATATTTATATTTAGTACCTACTTATTTATCAAACTTCTAAGTATATGCCTATAATTTTGAACATCCTGGTCGGAATCAGAGTCTGAGTATCCTGATCCTGATTCAGGTCGTGAACTACTACCATCTTCAGACATTCTTCTTGATATGTAAGATCCCATATATTAACAAAAAATGAACATTATTATTTGGATACTAATTTTCTTTGTCTTACTGCATTCAATGATAAAATAATACTTAAATGTTCATTCATTTATGAATAATTATTTTTATTGACATTGACTCGTCTTTTAGAGTATTTTGACAGTCATTTGACAGTTAACACAGCTGTTTGTGATATCTGACCTAATCTTCTTTTTATTTAAAGAGAAAGGAAATGTAGTTATTCAGTCTAGGCTGAGTCGGACTTTGGTGATTCGTTCTAGAACGAATATCGAGGTTCGGTTCTAACAGTGTTGCCAAATGTAGGGAAATTTCTCTTTTTGCGGGAATTTTTAACATAAATGGGAAAAAGTGTTTCCTTATTTCCGTCCTGTATATGAATCATTATCGTTGTCATTACTAATATTTGTTCGTCAGTTTAATATTTTGTACGCATTATTTTATTTTGAATAAAGCCATTTATTCTGGTTTCTCATTACAAATATACATACAATTAAATGCAAATTACTAATACTTTTTTATAAAGAGGAATAAATAATTAAATCAGATTGTGTATTAGTTAAAATAAAAATCCATCATCATCAGCTATAGATAAATGAAATATAATAATGTTCATAGGTAGGTACATGCCACATGCTGCTTAATATGCATGGAGGTAGAAGGTTCAGGCAACTCTATATACAATATCGTATAATAAGAGTTGCATACCCATAAGTAGAGATCAATGAGGTTGAATACTGCCGCGTTTGAGAATCCACATCGGATGCATCTGAGATGTAATAAATCTTTGATCACGTGATTCAGTATACGTAAATGTAATGGGACAGATGTGTCGATGTGGATAAAAAAACGCTCGAGATTAAAAAAATACATCCGATGTGGATTCTCAAACGCGGCAACTGGAGATGACATGCCAAAAAAACGACACCCCTTCCCCCTCTCTTAGTGGTCATGTCATAGTTGTCAAAGAGCTGTCAGAACTTTGTTCAAATTTAAATATTTCGACGTTATTTCTATCTTAATTTTTTTTTTTTTGATTAATTTGTATAAAAATCATGACTAAGTGTGCCAAATTTAATTGTAAAAACTCTTCAGTGAAAGAGCGTAAGAAAATATCTAATTTAAGTTTTCATAAGTAAGTATAAGGAGTGTACTTAGAATTTTTATTAGAATACTTAACTATTTTTTATTATAGGTTTCCAAAAGACCCACAATATCTCAAAATTTGGTCTAAATTTGTGGGAAAAGACTAATTTGAGCCTAAGCCGAATAGCATGTTGTGCTCTATTCATTTCAAGGAAGAATTTTTTGATAAGAGTGAGTTTAGGGTCAGATTGAAGAAGAATGCTGTTCCGAAAATAAATGAATGTTTAATTAGTATACATTTTATTTACAATAAAACTTAAATAACTAACTTAATAAAGAACATTGGCTTGACTAACTTTATAATAAAGACAAATAACTATATTAAAACTTAGATAACTATAATAAAACTTAAATAACTAACTTTATAATTAAACTTAAAAACCAACTATAATTAAACTTAAAAACCAATTTATAATTAAACTTAAAAACCAACTTATAATTACACTTAAATGACTAACTTTTTTTAAGTAACACATAATTTAGAATAAAATTTCAAGTATTTAAAAGCAGTTTTTATTAGATCCTAATTTCCTATTATTATACCGTTTTGATAATGAATATACTGTATAATAATAAATACTGGTGATGTATTTTTATTATTTAATTTGATTTGTGGCCATCACTCACTGCTATGTACCTCCTCATCCTCATGATATAAAATAATATGCCCGCTCATGTACCACATTACAATTATTATTATTAAATGAACAAACATTAAATTGATGTTCCTTAATTTAAAAACCTGCCGACTTTGTTCACAATACATAATAAATATAATTTAAAACATATTACGAAGTTAATAATATTTAAAAATTAGTAGTTTTGGAACTTAAATTAGTAGTTTTTGTATCATGGATCTATATTTAAGGCTTTATAACATACCAAATCTTGTTTCAGACTAACCCATCCATATCTACACCTCCTCCTCCAAAAATCAGGATCCTATCAAATATTCTTATTAAACCAGCAAATCAAACCAGTCAGATCGAATTACCTGTACCCTCTACTTCTTCTCTAAATATTCCATATGAAGAACCGCTGACGCCAAAGAAACAAAAAATATTACATAAACTCTCCTCTGTCCAGGCAACAAGTGCAAAAAGAAAGCAAAAATTAAAATTGCTAAGACGACAACTTTCTCGAAAAGTGAATAAAATTGCCAACTTAAAAAATATATTAAATGATTTAAGTAAAAAACGTTTGATACACGAAGATGAGTTAGATATAATGTCAAAACTTGGGGGCCCCATCGAAATATGTAGCGGGCAATTAAAAAAAAGTCTAACCTACTATTGCCTAAGAAGTATTCAGAAGAGCTACAAGTGTTTTCCTTAACTCTCCACTATTACTCACCTGCTGCTTATAATTATGTAAGAAGAACTAGCTTGCAATTTTAGTAATATATGTACCGACCCTATATAATTAATTATTTCAAACATAAATAAAACCAACAAATATTATTTAAGTCTTTTTAGTTCCGATTGGTTTTGACAGAGTAGTTTTGATCATGGTTTTCTTCTATCTACTTTTAACCATAAATTCATACCTAGCTAAATTTTTGGTCTTTTTAAACTTTTGACTGTAGCGGGTCATATTTTTAATGTATGTCATCTGCAGCAGAAAGACCTACATGTTTTACATTTAAAAGTAATTAATTGTCCTTTCTACAAACTCGGCTGTATTTTTACTGAAATATATTTATTCACAATTCACGTAGTGGTTTGGTTTTTGGTTTGGTAATTTGATGTCATAATTCTCCTCATTGTCAGATTTTGACATTGACAGCTTTGATCAAAACAAGAGAGTCCTTGAACGAAAAATCGTAGTTCGGGTTTTAGTTTTAAAGCACAAAGAGATTAACAAATCTGATGCACAGTGTTATTCGAACGTTGATTTCCGATCACACAGGTCATATATCGGACGGTTTCGGCGAAGACAGAACAATATAATAGGTCTGTTCGGGTTCTTTAAAATACATTGAAAACTATCAGAGGACTAGTTGACCAGTGGACAGTTTAATAATTGTGTGTGACGTATACTTTAGAAATGAACTGTTCCACTAGTTCTCGAACGGTTTGCATCGAGTTTTAAGGAAACCCGAACAAACCTTATAATATTAATCTCTTTTATGGTCTTGGCATTGGCTTGGTCGGAAAACGGTTAATAAATAATAGTAAATAGTGTAGAAGTCATAATTGCGCAATGTCATCAAATTAATTTCGAATCGATCATGTTGAAACAAATCTTAGGTAAGTAAGTCATTTAAAAGTTGTAATTCTCCATACGGACTTTAATTATGTTTGAATACGACCCTGCTTAGTCAACCATTTAAGCCACGCCCAGTGGGGTCATTTTTAATAAAACGTATCATATGCAAAACAATTGCCTCATGACATCTCCATTAGTATTATACCTCCATGATTTTAAGTAATTCACGTAATCATTCTGGGGAAATAATTGAAAACGTGGCAACGCTGTGCATATCAGAGCATCACCTAAAGTCCGATTTCCACGGACAGTCAGACATTTTATATATTAGCTGTTTTCACCATGGTTTTTATTTCACCTACAAAAAAAAGAAGAAAAATGAGAAAATGTTCCGCTAATATTTGCATTTTTAAATAAAACAAACAATAATTTATAAAATTTTAGATATCTGGATAACTATATTAATTTAAGCAACTTTTCTGGGTGGATAGTCGTTGAATTAAGCCCATATCACATAGAAGAAAAAGAAGAAGAAGTTAGGTTAGAATTTATTTCCAAATATTTAATTTACAAACATTTAATACGAAATAAATAATAAATATTATTATGATTGGATTCTAAATAGTTTCATATTTTTGGATATAGAAACCTATCACTAAAAAAACAAATTACTAAAATCGAGTAACTGATTATTATTTCATAACTTTTGGACCAAAGAAAATATAAATGGAATCAAGTATATCTTTTATGGATCAAGATTGTAGAGTATGCCTTAAAGAACAAGCAGAAAGAGATATATTCGATATTCATTCGCCTTCATCATTGGAGTATGCTTCTATTTTAAAGTCCTGTATAACTTTACAAGTAAGTTTAAATATTTATATTATTTTACAGTCTTGAAGGGTTCAAAATTAGTTCTAATGATACTTAAGAGTCAGTTTTTTTACATATAAGTAAAGTTGATAGTAACTATAGGGCTATTATTCGTTTATCTGTCAAATAAACCTACATATAACTTTACTCAGAGGTCAAAAGATCAACCCTTAGTCTTATAAATCATATAGTTAACTTCTCTAGTATCTAAAGCTTGTTTTTTTACTTTAAATATGGAATAATTTGCTGTTTATTGTTATAACTCATTTGTGGAAGTAATATTATACAGTACTGTTTTCACTAAAATCAGGATGATACAATAATTATCTGACCTTATTGTCTAATGATGCACTGTGGCTAGGTTTTCAGTCAATATTTAGACAAATTTAGAAACTAATTGATGTTACATCATTATATATTTTGCCTTATAAATGTATGTTGGTGGAAAATAAGCTTTAATTAGAATTTGTGAATGGTTTTTTATATTGTATCAGTTAAAAACAAATTATTATTATTCCAAAATAATCTATTTGATTTCAAAAACCAATGTTAAAACTATTCATTTACTAATAATTTTAATATATATTTCTCTTTTATTTAGTAATTAAATTAAATTACAAAAATAATAATATTGGTACCTACATATCTATATCTAAACTATAAAACATCACAGATGCAGAGTATCATCAGATTGTTTGGAAAAAGTAATGTTAATTTATTGTAGTAAAATAGTGAATAAAATATTAAAATTTGTACCAAATTGTTTGTGAAAAATGTGCATTTCAATGGGTAAATTATAGTAGTAGTAAATTATGCAGTTCAAATGCATTAAAAAGTTAAAATAATAAATAAAAAATGCAAAAATCTGATTTGTTCACACATTTTGTTAAATTTCTCGAGTACGGACCATTTTAGGAAAATTTTGTATAGAACAAAAATTATAGA